TACTTTTATAATAACAAATGTAAATGTATCACTGGTACAGCAGTCTGGGGTCATTAAAGGGCAGCTGGAGGAAAAAACATTCAGAAATTAAAGTCATAAATGTTCAAAATAAAATTGTTTTCACTTTTTAAAATGTTTCTATTCCCAAGAAAAATGTAATTTATCGTGTAATTCATTCTCAATAAACATTGGACAGTCCTGCAGTTGCAGTTCAGTGGTAGTGCAGCAGGGGGCGCTGGTTAGTTTAGTTTCCACAGAGCCATCATTGCTAATTAGGGCTGGGTATCGTCACTGATTTCTAGAATCGATTCGATTCAATTCGATTTGAATCGGGGAAATTTAGCCTCAGACAGTCAGAAATATTATAATTCAGATCATGCATCAGTACATTTCCATATTTTTTTATCTATAAAAAGAAACCTGACACTTGCGAGACTTTATCAAAGTGTGAGCATCACAGCAGAGGCCTTTGTGTCAAAGTAACTGAGAATAAAACCTAGAAAAACATGAAGGAGATTTTCCTGATCTGGGATTTTATAAAAATATTCTGCAGTCGATCAAAAATGAAAGAAACCATGAATCAACACATGAACGTCACCTGATGCTGCTGAAGTGAAGCAGAGCGACATTACAGAGGTTTGATTACAGACACAGCTGAGCGTTTGCAATTTTGCATCATTTTAAAAAGTTTAAATTGTTCAGTATTGAGGCCGTAAACACAAAGCTCGACCCGCCGAAACATCAGAATCAGCGAGCTGTCGGCTTTCAGCCCCGAGCGTGTCCGTGCCGTCGGTGAGAAAGTCACATCTCACTGATTCTGATGCGTTGGCGGGTCGAGCTTTGAGTTTACGTCTCTGTGCAGAATCCGTGTTCCTGCTCTCAGTTACTGTTTTAGCTGTTTGGTGGTTGTTGAAATTTTGTGAGGTTTAACCTGAGATTCTGGCGTTTCGGGCAAAATGTAAATGAAAAAATCGATTCAGGATTTTAATGAATCGAAATCACGTTATCCAAGCCAGAATCGATTTTAATTGATAAATCGATTATTAAAACCCACCGCTATTGCTAATGTGTCAGAGCTGAAAGAAAATGACCCTCACGTCCTTTAGAGCGGCTGATTTTGACCATACGTGTAGTGGATTTACCCATGATGCCTTGCTGTGCCTGCAGAGGCTGGAGGAGCAGATTTCGGAGCTCCCTGCGTTTTACACAGCGGGTTCGATCCTGTTGGACACCGACCAGCTGAAGCGTTCGCTCACTCACGAGTGTCGCTCCTGGAAACGAGCTTTCGGCGCCGCTCTGAACCGC